TGTGTATGTTATATTATATGGGAATGTAAAAACATAACATAATCATACTGTGTATGTTATATTATGTGGGAATGCAGAAAACAGAACATAATCATACTGTGTATGTTATATTATGTAGGAACTGCAGAAAACAGAACATAATCATACTGTGTATGTTATATTATGTGGGAATGCAGAAAACAGAACATAATCATACTGTGTATGTTATATTATGTGGGAATGCAGAAAACAGAACATAATCTACTGTGTATGTTATATTATGATGGGAATGTAAAAACATAACATAATCATACTGTGTATGTTATATTATGTGGGAATGCAGAAAACAGAATATAATTATACTGTGTATGTTATATTATGTGGGAATGCAGAAAACAGAACATAATCATACTGTGTATGTTATATTATGTGGGAATGTAAAAACAGAACATAATCATACTGTGTATGTTATGTTATGTAGGGATTGCTGAAAACAGAACATAACCATACTGTGTATGTTATATTATGTAGGGATTGCTGAAAACAGAACATAATCATACTGTGTATGTTATATTATGTAGGAATTGCAGAAAACAGAACATAATCATACTGTGTATGTTATATTATGTAAGGATTGCTGAAAACAGAACATAATCATACTGTGTATGTTATATTATGTGGGAATGCAGAAAACAGAACATAATTATACTGTGTATGTTATATTATGTAGGGATTGCTGAAAACAGAACATAATCATACTGTGTATATTATATTATGTAGGAACTGCAGAAAATAGAACATAATCATACTGTGTATGTTATATTATGTAAGGATTGCTGAAAACAGAACATAATCATACTGTGTATGTTATATTATGTTGGAATGCAGAAAACAGAACATAATCATACTGTGTATGTTATATTATGTGGGAATGCAGATAACAGGACATAATCGTACTGTGTATGTTATATTATGTAGGAACTGCAAAAAACAGAACATAATCAAACTGTGTATGTTATATGATGTGGGAATACAGAAAACAGGACATAATCGTACTGTGTATGTTATATTAGGTGGGAATGCAGAAAACAGAACATAATCATACTGTGTATGTTATATTATGTAGGAATTGCAGAAAACAGAACATAATCATACTGTGTATGTTATATTATGTAAGGATTGCTGAAAACAGAACATAATCATACTGTGTATGTTATATTATGTGGGAATGCAGAAAACAGAACATAATTATACTGTGTATGTTATATTATGTAGGGATTGCTGAAAACAGAACATAATCATACTGTGTATATTATATTATGTAGGAACTGCAGAAAATAGAACATAATCATACTGTGTATGTTATATTATGTAAGGATTGCTGAAAACAGAACATAATCATACTGTGTATGTTATATTATGTGGGAATGCAGATAACAGAACATAATCATACTGTGTATGTTATATTATGTGGGAATGCTGAAAACAGGACATAATCGTACAGTGTATGTTATGTTATGTAGGAAATGCAAAAAACAGAACATAATCAAACTGTGTATGTTATATTATGTGGGAATGCAGAAAACAGAACATAATCATACTGTGTATGTTATATTATGTAGGGATTGCTGAAAACAGAACATAATCATACTGTGTATGTTATATTATGTGGGAATGTAAAAAACAGAACATAATGTGTATGTTATGTTATGTAGGGATTGCTGAAAACAGAACATAACCATACTGTGTATGTTATATTATGTAGGGATTGCTGAAAACAGAACACAATCATACTGTGTATGTTATATTATGTAGGAACTGCAGAAAACAGAACATAATCATACTGTGTATGTTATATTATGTAGGAACTGCAGAAAACAGAACATAATCATACCGTGTATGTTATATGATGTGGGAATACAGAAAACAGAACATAATTACACTGTCCCAGTCATAACAATAGATGAGATGCATACGGTGTCTAGCATGCCAATAAATAAGGTGTGAAAATGACTGATAAATGCTTTATTGATTTAAAAAAAATGAAGAACATACAAATACATACAATTTGTTATATTCGGAATCATCATCATCATCATTTGTAATGCGTGTTTAAGTCAAGTCGCATGCGGTGTTAGATATGATATGAATATGATTAATAAATGCTATATTAATTTTTCAATGAAGAACATAAAAATATATACATCTTATTATAAAAGTCAGTTAAATCAAGCAACTTTACATCATGACAAATGCGTCCTTTATATAGGACTGTTGTATGTACAGTATTTAACAACATTTTTATAAATTACTGTTCTGATCGATATTTACATCTTCAATCTACATTACATATTTATATAAAGACTGTTATAAACGTATCCATGACGACACTGTACAGGTTCAATCTGATCTCTATCGCGCCGAGTACACCACAAAGGCCACCAGAAGCAGTGATGTGACAATAGATGGTAATATGCATGCACCATCATCTGTAGACGACACGAATGAGTGGTGTTACAATTATTATTAATCAGTTATGAATTAACATGTATCGAATGACATTTTAATCTTAGAGTATCAGTCAGGATCATGGGGACATTCAGTTCATGTGAGATAAGAAATCACTTTTAAACATCAAAAATTCGTAGCATATAAGCAATATAAAATGAGATTGTGTACTTGCTATCGCACTTGAATCACCCCACCCCCCCGCCAAAGATGGCGTTTTTCGGCTACATCAATCACCAAATTTATTATTAACATTAATTTGAAATCAGAATATTATTTTTCTCGATGCATCATTTGTTAATAAGTTCATCACATCTGCCGACGACGCAACAGGAAACTCGAATCCCGCATTAGTAAATAAGGACTAACCATCATATTAGAATTTGTGCGTAGCTTTCGCAGCCAAGTTTTCTGACAAGTAGTGCGGACTGAAGTTAATATATGTGAGTAACATCAGTGGTAATTGCTACAAATCTCATGGATCATTAACGGAAGCGTTGATTGGTTGCGCACAAAGGCTCTTCAAGGCGCTGTCAAATTAACATTACTTTACTGTTATGTGGAAACGTTCGCCTTGCTGGATGTTCTGAAGCCGTTCAAATCTGGTATCAAATTTGTTGTCAAATGGTTGACAAAAAACCCACGCCCAAATCCAAGTAGGGTAATTGGTTATTTTGCCCTTTGTTATCAAGATCTCGCCCGCACATTATATATTGACAAGTTTCTTTATTAAAAATGACAGGGAAAGAACAAAGATTTGGTTTGCATTTTGAACAAGATGTCTTTTAATTGTTTATATATTTGGCCATTGACTTCATTCTTGGTATCCAAGATACCCTCAATTAAAATGTGAACAGATCCAGTATGAAACAAAACAAATATTTAAAATATGTATTTACTGACATGTCTCGTGACGAAAACGCCCATTTATAATAAAACATGATGTCTTATTTACCAGATTCGGCAGGATTAGGGTCGGTAAGGTCAACGCATTCTTCGCCCTCACAGCAGCAAGGACAAACATTACCGACGCATTCAATACCATCGATACAATCACAGGTAGGAAAAACTATATAAATCAACAGAAAGACATGTTGTTGTTGTATATCAGGACAGATATCGTAAAACTGAATAAGAATGATAGTATGCCAATATTTTATGAATCATATCACCACTACAATGTATTTGAGTACTTAGTGGGAAGATAAACGTGCGACACCAATAAAACTTACTTCGTTCGCAATGGTAGCCGGTAACTCCACTTAAACATACACAGCGAGTACCATCGCAAGTACCGCCATTCAGACAGTCGTCATCAGAAGAGCAGTCTGTTTCTGTTATGCAAATAATAAAATGAGAATATTTTAGTTGAGCTAGAACGGAATTTTATGTTTTTCAGCTTTTCTACTGTCGGCGTTGTTCTTTTGTATAGTCGACGGTAACGTCAGTGTTAGTAACACTATTGTCGAATTGCAATCAATAAGTTTGCTACTTATGCGCTTATGCTTTTTATTATCAAGTTCATTTCAAGTTCTCTGTGTATGTTTTCCCTGTGCATTTTATGCTGATTTTGTCTTTTGGAGGATGTTTTATAGTACATACAAACGACGTAATACCATAACACCGCGAACAGTTGCCGAAACGCCATAGATCTTCTTTGAAACACCACGAACTTTTACTCAAAAACACCTACGAACACCTACGAACTCGAAATGCCACTATAAACAACAAGTGTACTTTCACGTTTTTGTTGTAATCTGGGTATTAATTAAAAGTCCATATTTTGGTACTGGTCTATATGATTAATATTAAGCTAATTACATATTGGATGATAGTTATTATTTGTTCGTCATTAGTGTTTTAAACCGTTATTCCTGTTATTCCAACTGCTTCAATCCACTTTATTGTCACTGCGACATAACAACAGAACCGAATCGTTGGCCGTCGAACTGTGACGTCATTCAGTTTGTTTACATATTTCCAATCAACATGCGAATGTCGTTTATTGATTAAAACTGGCTCATGTCGCTACAACAGCGTTGTCCGTAAAGTTGTTTTAGTAACGGAACATATACTTAAAACAAGCGTAGCGAACAACGCCCTATAATATCTTTGGGCGTGAACTAGCTTTCATATTCTTCATTTGGACTAGCTTTCATATCCTTCGGTTTGTAGAATTTGTAGCTGAAGTTGTCAGACTAGAATTTACCTGTTTCGCATAGATATCCACTGTAGCCGTCTGGACAGTTACAATATTTTTCGCCGCCATCATCTTCCAAACAGGTTCCACCGTTCATACAATCCAACGTTGGTCCACAAACAAGCATTTCTGCAAAAACAACGCAGTATCTTCATATTCAAGCTTGCATGTTACCATATTCACAGTATAACATATGTGCTCCTAGTCTAATCGTCTGTCTATTATATTATATTTTGATAACTGCGAGTAATTTGGATATTTTTCAAATATTTTGATCCATTTTAAGTTTCATGAACAAAAATACTATTTAGCTTTAAATTATAAGAAACCATGTTTTACCTGTTTCGCAATAGTCGCCAGTATATCCATCGGGACACTGGCAATAGTCAAACTCTGTGGGGTCGACGTCAGAAGTACACACTCCCCCGTTCAAACACCCATGTCCAATTTCAATGTCTACTTCACATACGGGTTCTATAAATAACATATTTCATGTTAAATTCTTTCACATGTAGAATTTTCAAAGAGATGAACATTCAGTAATAACAAAACTGGCCAAATCATCGCAAAATAAATGCTGAAGCTACGTTCTCTGGTAACGTTTTCCGAAAAAATGCCACATACGGTAAATGATCATTCATCGTTGTTAAAACGAAAGTAGGAATTATCAAATTGACATTACACCTAGACTATGAATGACTCAGTGATACAACTTTATAGACGCTAAATATGGAACAGATCACAATGAATACAATATGCAGATGAAGTAAGTCATCCAGGATGTTGTAGTATGACCCTTTTGGTAATTGTCATTATGCAGACAGCCTTTTGGTCGGTAAACTTGTGTTAATAATTACACGCAACATATACAATAACACATAAACTTTGATGCTTTCTGTGAAAAGTTACCCACATAAGACATCAGTAGTCCTGCGAGATAAACTGAACCAAAATACAATACTTCAATGAAAATCATAAAATAAACTCTCCAAGCCAACACTAAGATTATATATCTGCTACTGTCTTCAACACAAGGATTGTGGAAATATTGTAATCTCGAACAAAACTTCTCACATACGCTTTAAGTTTACAGATTGAAATGATTGGGAATTTGCTTCTGACCCAGATATCTAACCGTAAGAGTTGTATTTGGTGTGACAGCGGCTTCAAATAAGATATACATGTGTGACGATATAGCTTTAATATAAAATTGAAAGATTTTCTTTTAGGAAAAATCTGTTTCATGATTACAATATCCATTAATTACGATGCCTGTCATCCGCAAAACGTTCGATTTGACAGACATACATTACATAAATTGTTCTGGGTAGATATCCCACAGACCACACAAATCTGAAATATAGCTACACAAATACACGTGTAGTTACTCCATAGCATATACAGTGTTTGAGAACTAACGTAGTAAAGTAATTCAAAAATTACCTGGAACGCATGCTTCCCCTTCACAGCAGCATGGACAGATGACGTCATTCACGCATTCTATTGTATCAGAACAATTGCAGGTTGGAAAAACTGTATCAAGAAATTTATATTGTATTACTAGGCTGTTACGAATTTCTCATACATCACAGGGCGATATTATTGCATACGAATCATTGAGTCGTAATGTTCTTACCTCGCTCACAGTGGTAACCAGTGACTCCAGAAAGACACGTACATCGATTCGTTTCGTCATCACATGTACCTCCATTGAAGCAATCGTCATTAGATTCACAGTCAAATTCTATTAGACAAACCATGTCAATAATTAAAATAAAAGTAGTAGCAATACAACAAGTACTTTTCACGTATCTGCCTACCTATTTCAAATTATGTTCAATGTCAATGTTAGAGTCTTATCGATAATTGGTATTGATGATATTGGAATGTTTTCTTTCATACGTTCAAAGAATTAGACATGTTTAATATCCAGTGTCGAACGAGTTGCTGTTATCTTTTTATTATCACCAGATACAGTTACACTACGTATAGTATTATCCGTTTTTCAGTGATATCCAATCATGTAACCTTCAGTACAGTTACATTGGTTACACGTAAATTATCATAGTATCACTTGTTTCTTATATGTATCTAATGTAACTTGTAGCAGTTACATTTTTCGGTCAGTTAGTATGGTCGAGTGTTAGCGCATTCGTCTGCAGTGGCGAGGCGCTACGCCGTTTGTGCAAGTTCGAATTTTGTGTTGCACGTATAAACATGTATGTGAGTATTCGTTCATGCCTGTAATTATTCACACATCATTTATCATGTATTACTTGTATCCCATATTATCTAGTGTAGCAATTAATTTTCTGTACACTTAACTCATAGTATTAGCTGGTTTCTATAGTTACCTAGTGTAACCTGCAGAACAGTTACAATGATCAACAAAGGTCTCCAGTGTAACTTTCAGTACAGATACAGATGTTACAAGTAATTTGTATGACATTACCTGTTTCGCATAGGTATCCCGTGTAACCCTCAGCACAGTTGCACTCGTTTCCGGCCTCGCTTTCAATACATACTCCCCCGTTTAGGCACGGTACCGAGTCACTACAAACGAGCATCTCTGTGAAGTGAAATGAACCCAAAGTAAAGTTGTTAATATTAATATTATTATTATTTAAATTAGTGGTGTCGTTATGTGTTTTAAATATACTGGTTCAAAATACACTGAATACAATAGTTGACACATTGTATAAGGTTAATATACAAACACACGCATACCATTACAATATAAACCATCAGAATCGGAAGTAAATTTACGAATAAATACTTTTTTGAGGTAGTATGTTTTCTGTAAAGTCAGCGCGTCTCAGCTTACCTGTTTCACAATAATCACCGGTAAAGTCAACTTGGCAGGAGCAATACAGTGTGCTGTCGTGTGGATCCAACTCACAAACACCATTGTTTAAACATCCATGACCATATTCAGCGCCACCATCTTCACATACTTGACCTGTTGAAATGGAACCAAATACACATTTAGTGACAACAACAAATACAATGTGACAGTGCACAATACGTGTTAAAGTCTTCTGGACCAATCGGGAAGCTCCCCTACAGGACTTCATCGATGGCCACAAGTAGAATCAATGTTAGTTGTCCGAGATTTCACATAACACCGAAGCAAAGCAGACGAAATTCCAATATACAAGTTTTACTTAACGAGACATATTGACTGGCGGCTTCGGGAAATACTGTAAAAAAATCTTCTCACTGGCATTTCATTTGACTCTTTTGATGTTCTGAGCACTTTCACCGGGTTTTAAGTTTTCGAACTTGAGTTATATTGTTATTTTACATGCTCACGTGAATGTAATTTAGCGAATTTTATTTATCAACGGAAATAGTGCAATTACAAACCAGCGAATAATTAATACTTTTATAGTAGACTGATTTGTTGGATGAATCAAAATACCTGGGGGTAGACGTGTGTTATTGCCCCCATGGTCAGTCATTGTTAATGAGTTGACGTCAACTTTGACTTTTTGACTGAAAGTACTTCTTTTTTTCTAGAACTAAGATTCTCCGCTCTAACTAAATTACTTCAGAAAATCTTCGATCTGAATTGTAATTCACAAAATGAGCCCACGTGCACATAGTTTCATTATCTTGACTCTCGAAATAAATTGTTTAGTTACTTCATTACACGTAATACACTAATCGTTTTACACTCCGGTGACAAATTTATCACCATCGCTGAATTGATGTTTCAATTTAATTTAATTTATTTTAAAGCAACTGAATAGGTCAAGAACTCTAACTAGTAACTGATATTAGGTAACACGCTATGACACTCATCAAATTATTAACATTTGCAGTCCCTTTTCACCTTTAAACTGACAACTTATATTTCAGAAAGATCTTTGAGCTTTTGGTTGCACTTGTATTGCAAATAAACACTACGTTGTCATGGCAACCCGGTGTACTCCACGCTCATCTATCAATCATTTGTTGGTATTTCCACAGATGGTTGTTGTGGCAACAAAACACGGTGGTTCTAAAACACCATTGTTGCGATAAACAAGTACTTGTCCACATTGAGAGATATTGCTCTGGAACAGCATTAATTGAAACAGCCATTTTGAATACATATATAATGAATATATAAAATTTGAACATAATCAGTCAAAGCATGTCAGAAATGTGGCTCTAGAAGCCCATTCATTAAAACAAAATGGCCGCCAGTCAGCCATTTTGCATCCAATCTGAAAAGTAAAATGAATTGTATCAGGAACCCGTAATGTCTAATGTATGTACCCGGTTTGAACAAAATCCAGCCATAAATGCCAGAAATGTTTTATATTTGATGATTTTTAGCACAAAAATGGCGATCGTCAAACCAATATATCTGTATATCTATGACATGATGTATAATGAATATTTAAAATTTGAGCATAATAAGTCAAAGCAAGTCAGAGATATGGCACTAGAACCACATTCATCAACTAAAATGGCCATTTTGAATCTTATCTGAAAATCAAAATGATGTGAATCAAGGTCCTACAATGTCCAATGTATATACCAAGTTTGAAAAACATCCATCTGTAAACAGTCGAGAAATACTTGATTTTGATGATTTTTCAGTACAAAAATGGCTGCCACTTGGCTATCTTGAATCAGATTGTGAAACAAATTGATGTGCATATGTATAATATTATGTGTGATGTATGTGTTTGGTCCAGGCATGTCTAAGATACAGGTCCGGACGCACGGACGCACGGACACGCGGACGCACAGACGCACAGAGGTCAATCCATAAATGCTCATTTTCGGACTGCGTCCGTACGGGGACTAAAAAATTCAGTAAGTCATAAATTCTGAAGAAATCTGGGTTTATTTACCTACAGGGCTTTTCAGTTCCGAACGGTATGTGAAATGTTATATATTCTCTCATAGAATGTATTTATTTATGTACAGAATTGAAGACATAAACAGTCCCGACGAACCAGGTTGACAGACAGCTGTAAAGTTTGAAGGTTACGACAGGACTTATAACACTTTCAAAAAGACAAAGTTTAAATTAAGTTAAAACAGTCAAATTTAAACTTTTGGAATTAATCATACTAAATTTATATGTACTAACTATTAATTTAAAAATATCTCTTTATAGACGTGCGGGGTAACCGAGATCCAAGACAACTCCAAGCAAACGACTCGTTGAGGTGTAACCTAGCGAAGAGTCCGTGTCTTGGAGTCTGGGAGTCGTTCTCTCTATCTTGTGGATTAACATTCTTCAGATGCTGACAAGATACAGATTGGACAGATTTATTGAACACCAACATAATCATGACAATGACAAACTTATGTACATTTTAAATTCGAGCGGTAAAGGGTATCTATATCACTGGTGCCTTTACGTGTAACTGACTATATCGAACATCAGGCCTTATGGGATTGGTCACACAAGAGAGAATTATGATTGGGTAAGAGGTCGGAGGCCGTTGTATGGGATTGGCGGCATAGGGGAGACATATGATTGCCCAAGCGGTTGAAGCCTGGGTCTTAAATTGTCACATAGCTCTGTTATTCCCATTGTAAACGGTCGAGTTGAGGGTCTGAATAAATATAATTGATTTCATGACAAAAATATTGATAAATCATAATAATCTCCTGATGACGTTGATAATTTGCCATATCTAAACATACCAGTTACTATGGGCAACCTAAATCCAAAATTGAAATTGTTATCATCTCCTGAATCAAAGTTGGACAATTACTTTGATATGAAATGAACTTGAACAAAACAAGTATTATCCTCCTCAGAAACGCAACTCGCCCAAGTAAATTAATAACTCCTTTGGTCTACTACCAAAGCAGTCAGGGTATTATTTTCTGACAGTTCAAGGCCTTGAATGTCAGTGCTGTTTCTCCAAACTGTTGGTATGTCAAATTGATGCGCGACCCTGTCAACCAACGTCAGCCAGATCCTGTGAGAAATAGAGGGACTGCAGATCATAACAAAGATTCCCCCTGTAAATCGTCAAAGTCGTAGATCTGGCAGTGAACTCGCGTAGGGTACAGGCCGGCTCATGTGTTTTGTGTTCAACCAAGTGAGATTCAAACTCGCGCCTACCGATACACCTATATGTACGTGTCGCATCGTATAACTGCTACAGGTTGCAGGTTGCGTCATATCAGTAACTATGTCGCATCAATCTTTGATAAATAGCCATTTTCCACCATGTTTTGTCAAGTGACCTGTTTTGACATACTACACGTATTCAGAAGAAACAACTAGACATAATGCTGAATTCAATTCATTGTAAAAATATCACAATAGCCTATTGTAGTTCACTATATAACGCTATGAAAGTTATGGTAGAACGCATTCAAACACGATGACGTGCGGTGACATTCTCACTTTTATATCCGACGTTAAAAATAGTTATACTAAGCCCCGAGTTCAGTCCTGTCCGTTGGTCTCTTTTATTTACGATACAGCATCTACTGACCAGGCCGGCAAGATTTACAGCGGCCAGTGCATACGACTGCACTTGAGATTTATGTCTTGTCTTCAAGTTGAAAGTAGTCACAGTGTTTACACTAAGCAATGGAGATTGTAATCATTATCGCTATTCATCAAAGCTTACAGGAATCCTGATAAAGTTTGAGTATTAACATTAAAATTAAAACACTCAGGGTACACAGAAGGACTGTCGTTTCGTCCCAGCCGTTATACCCCAGTGTCGCTTCACCCAAACACCGTTACACCCTAAAGGTATATCGTCCCAGTAACAGTTTGATCCTAAATGCTGTACTTTTTTTCACATTTTGTGTGATTTTATTGCAAGCGTTTCAAACTAACTGAAATTAATTTCTATTTCTATTGACGGGTTAGATTGTCAGATAATACATTGGTTGTATTAGTGGATTGCTTGAACAGATGTTTCAACTTAAAAAACATCCTACCATTCCATTTGTTAAGTACAAGATTAACAGCCATTTTCAATGCATATGTTACGGGACAATACTATCATACGACTGCGGAGAATTCCCAAGCGTCGAGAGAGAGAAATAGGGTGTATGACGATAAAAGATAGTCGTATGACATGACCTATTGCGGCTATTCAGACATCCATCTTCAACTAATTAACCGTGAATATTAGTTATACAAGATCGACTCATGACCACTCTTGAAACGTGGTATCACGGTTACTAAAACCGTGGTGGTATGTTCATTCGCGCTTTGATACAAACTGTCCATCCCATGGAGGAAATAGTTTAGTCCTGGCAGTGTGCATGGCCCTTGATTTATTTAAAAATATTGACTGGTACTGCACTAGGCGAAACAGCTTTGGAACAAAACCGCACTGGACGAAACAGCTGGGACTAAACAGCGTTGTGACGATACGACTCCAAACCAACACACACACATACTAGAAATTTACAGACGTGTGTTTACCACTTCGCATCTAAACAGTTCTCACTTGAAACTACTAACATTATATGGTACACTTGCATTAATAATTACCATTGATAATTACCATGACTGGCCCAGATCTCGGCCTCAGAATATTACATAAGTAGAATAACATACTCACCTAAAGTCAAAGTGAAGAAGAGAATTGATACAAAGGCTATAAAACCTGTGCGATGCATATTGTTAATCTAGAAGCTGGTGTCGTTATGGTATGGTCTTCGTTACAGCATACAAGTATTGAAACACGGAAGTAATTTGCATAAACCGTCCCACTCTTACTCTTTGTCCAATAGTTAACTCTTTTACGAGTCGCCGCAGTTGACGTCAGTGTTGTGTAGCCGATAACAGGCGTGGCGTGTCTTTTATTGAAAATGACCCTGTGGTCATATAAACAAGCGCCTTGATAGACTGGTATCCGTGAACATATAATTGCGTCTTAAACTAGTCTATATGGACCGGATACGGCTTTTGCGGCCCGAGGTCAAAGTCACCATATACCTTATAGGGCCTTTTAAAAATAAATGGCATTGTTTCGAACTACTGGACCTGAATACTGTAAAACTAGCTTTAGCTAGATGTTATTTTAGCTAATTTAGCTAATCCACAATATCGCTAAATTATGATGTCGCTAGAGTATATTCTCACAGTATGATTGTTGGCACTTTAGCTAAATTAAGATTCAGCTAATGCATGTAGATATTTCAAAGTGTTTTACAGAAAAAAGTAATATAGAAATATTGACCCGGGCTAAGGTCGATTTACAGATGTGTCGACCCGAAGGAAATCGTTTTAGCGAGGTCTGGGGATCTCCATTTACAAGTAGCTGTTTCATCACATCAATGGGTCATTTATATTGATATTCAATAATCTTTTCTAAAATGTCTGTCACATTTGAGATTTCTGTAAGTAACAGCTAGCTACGGACGACTGTCTGACATTTCAGAGGCCGCGATGTTTATACATGACGCGCGCAAACAGAACATTGGACTTAGGGCCAATGGGACCCTGGTCGGACCTAAATAAAACGCAATAAAATAACCACAACGGTGAATTAGCATTTTTTTAGATCAATCATAACGTCTGCGCAAGCGCAGAAGCCGAATCATTACGTCTTTGACTGCTGGTAAGTCAATATGCGAATATGTCGACCGCCAAATGCGCGAATCTGATTGGCTGTTAGGGATAGGCGGTATATATCATATACATTACAGGTCGGTCAATACAAGATATATGATATATGGAAAATAGTTATCGGTAATTTTTTTTTACTTGTAGGGTAATATCAATTATTAATATCTTCGATACCTATAGTGCAACACGTTACGACGGGTTCTCTTTGATTCTGTGTCCGTGCCGTCGCCATTTAGTAGACGAACATGAAATAAAGAACGATGCGTTGGATAGCGCAATTTTTCCAGAATCCCTCCTTGAGAGCACAATGGTCCCAGGCCACAGACATACCCCCCCCCCGCCCAAGCAGCACATGAAATACGTTTAACATGAAATACATTCACAAGTGGCGAAGTCAAAAGAAAACCAGACAGAAGCAGAAATTAATAAAATACAATAGGAGTAATGTCGGCGGGTCATCCATCTTAAATATAGCTGCACCCGATAGTTGAGATATTCTTGGCATGCAGATGAAGCCGACGAGTACAACTGTTATTAATTATCGCTACTAGACACATCATGATGGAGCCACTGGTGGCGCTGTACACAATCGAGACCTATTGAGGCGTGCCGTAGCTCACGTAGATTTGAGTGTAAGCCACAGAAACAGTTGTTAAATTTGGTGACCAGTTTAGTATGATAGAAAGCGTTTACAGTCTTCAAATAACTACAATAGACAGAGTGGGGGTCAAGACCGAATATACGTGATTCCGGACTTTCATCTAAATATTTTTTATTAATAACTTCACTTTCAAATAATATTTATGAGATATGTGTACGTCATAACCTCGTTAAAGGTTATTAGCATATTGTAGGTATTAGTATGCGTATACACAACCGTGCGTTCACTAACCCTACACTGGTAATTTGAATGACCCAAATAGTGTACATGTTGACTTTCAAACCGCAATTCGGGACAATGTGGCGCCAACATTTGTTGCTAGTGACATATGGACCTATCAATATCTCGGGCCTTCAAACACATACTAAGACACGAAATATTGATACTACATTTTGGTATCAATTGACGTCAGATCAGATTCGAGTATTTTATGATGTGATGGTTGCTCCCCGAAAAAATGTTGGGGCGCCCCCAAAAATCAAGCTGAAACCCTTTGTGTTATGTTATGTTATGTTATGTTATGTTATGTTATGTTATGTTATGTTATGTTATGTTATGTTATGTTATGTTATGTTATGTTATGTTATGTTATGTTATGTTATGTTATGTTATGTTATGTTATGTAAGTCAGCAAAATTTTCCCCTCAAAATGCAGGAAATAGCGTTTCAGAGGGTCAGATTTCAAGATTTTTTAGGGGGAGCATGCCCCCGGACACCCCTAGTAAGGTCGCGCCTTCGGCGTGAGGGCCGCTGATGAGCAGATCTAGCCCCCCCCCCCCTCCCCCATCGTGCGCCGTCTCTGTACTACAGGAATTCAAACATGACATGGCAGGATTTATCATAGTGAAGACAAATATTATATTATAATCGATAAATCGTCGTAAATAAATACAGGATCTGCATAATATCAAACTCGTAACATCATATAACCCCAAAACCGATCAGAGGCATTGTGTTCGAGATAGGCCAATGGGCAGCGTGTCTGTCACATCGCCCCCTATGGGCGAACTTCGAGTTTAAATCCAGCTTCATGGTTTATTCTTAGGAAAGAAAGAATAACTAAATAAAAAAAATAGTGTAGTAAAACGTGGTCAGTTTTTCATCTCCGATGTCACATGATTTATATGTAAGTTCCAAGGCGATCATTGAGAAAAAAATGCATATAGAAGTCCTAGGACATTTATGAGAACAATGAGATTTGACTTGAGGATTTAACTCAGACACAGAGACAGGACCTGATTCAGAGTTTATTTACTTGCAAGCCCTGCAGATATAAACTTTTGACGTATACAATCGTTGTCACGTGATATGCACGGCAATGTACCTGAATATAGTATTTTCTGTTCATGCAAATATACCTTCCCACTAACAGCAGTTGGGCGAAATAGTACGTGCATATATTTCGCGTTTTCGTCACCAATCGCACATCGTATCCGCGCAGTTTCAAGAGTAACAGTCCCACTTATTCCCATCACCTTGTAAATGTTGCTACTAGAAACAACACTTTTATTCGTTCCATTAATTATACGTCACCTGCGCATGCGTCAGATAGCCATAGCGTGTCATTGTTTACAAACAAGCGTCTACCTATGAGCCTTTGCGTTTTAGCGTGTGTTGTTATCGTCGCTTGGAACTTAATTCCTGCGCGTGCGCAGGTGACGACCCTCCCGCTTTAAGATTACTGTACTGGAAATCTGAAAATGTTTTTTCAACGGATGGCGTATCAGTAATATCAGTATCCGCTTTAGTACTGCCAAATGAACACTTGAATAAATGTATCAGTCAAAACACACACACACTTGATAACTAACGAAGCATTGTTGATAAAAAACAAACATACAGAAATCATAACACTCGTGAATAACAGTATCATAGTCAAACAAACCGCTGATTCAGGTACACGCTCAGTGTTCGGTTTTATCATACAGACATTTTAAGTACGCCTTTGAAAAGGTTCATTAAACAGTTTTTACTTTTTAGGCGAGTACTTTCCGTACCAGATGTGTGTTTTATGAGCTTACTATTAATCTCAGACAACTACTAGTAATAATTGTCTGAGTATTAATCAAATCTCCAATTAATTAATTAGTTAATTAATTGAGCGATTAATTAATTAATTGGAGTTTTGATTAATACTCAGACACCTATTAGTTGTCTGAGATTAATAGTTAAGTAATTAATTATTCAATTAATTTATTTATTTATTATTATTCTGAAAATTATTAAAGAATGTCCAATACGATTTTCTGAATGATTGTCAATATTGTTGTCTCGCTAAATGTATCATTCAATACATATGTGGAACAGTAAGTATTGGTCATTTGTCGTTTCAGTATTTGATATATTTATTTCAGCTATTTTGTATTAAAGGACAATGGTCGTCGCGCTGCGCATGTGCGACATTTGTCTTAATGAACACAATCCAACGCGCTCTCCTAATAGAAATCACGAGTGCAAGTTCTTATCTAGGCGCGACGTACACTATGTACCGTCGGTGACTACTTCGATACCTTGGTAACGTCTCATTTTGTACTCGTTCAAGTTGATCTGCGCAACAGCCACTGTCGCCATCTTTGTTTATAAGATAACTTTATTCTGATTGACATTATTCTTTCTATAGAAGATGAACATAGTCAAGTGAAATAAAAAAAAAAGTAAAAACGATAATCAAAAAATTAAGATAACAGATTAATTAAAAGGCAATTACAAGGTAGTACAGAATCAGGTGTTTTATTAATACACACCTGTTTGCATTATAAACACACCAAGCTTAATGTGGCAGTTTGTCATAATGTAAATAAATTTATCGGGATAATCCATTGAAGTAAAATTAGGATTATCCTTATGTAAGTCTGTAAAAAGTATCTGCCTCATTTTATTGTGCTGTGGGCAGTCCATAATGTAATGGTACTCATCCTCAACTGAGTTATTGTCACATCTTGTGCAGATTCTGTGTTCCAGTTTTGTTTTTGGTCTAGTATACCTCCCTTTCTCAATCATAAGCTGATGGTCACTAATTCTTAATTTACAAATATATTTTCTATATTTTGAATTATTCACATCCA